TCACTTAATATTTGTTTACATTACTTTCATAATTAGAACAACTAATCATCTTTATTTCAATAAGAAAAAGGAACAACCAATCATTTGTGAATGAAACATATCATATATGAGAAGTGAGAGACTTATCTTATTGATGGAACCAACATCTATTTTCAATGTGCTTTGCAAAGACTGGAAAGTCAATGCATATTTTGGTAATTTTGTGTGATTGTCCATTTTTGTTGTCAATTTTATATTGGAGGGTGTTAGATGATAAAAAATGACGTGACACATGGACTAATAGAATAACAGATCATAAGATGAGGTATTAATAGATAAGAGATAGCTCGACCATGAAGTTCCTCAGCCATAAGAGATAGCTTGACCATGAAGTACTTCGGTCATGGATCGCCTCGTCATTGATTCATAGCTTGGCTTTGAAGTACTTTGTCCTTGATTCATAACTCGACTATAGAAGTTCCTTTGTACATCGGCCAAGGAGTTTGTCAGTTTTATGATCAAAGAGTATATATGTTGAATTAATTTGAGTAAAATTAATTAACTAAAATTCATTCAAGGTTCAAATTTAACTTAAATTAAGATATGAATGTAAGCACTTAACTTCCTAATTTTCATCTTCACTGTCATAATTTTCTTTTCCTTCCCCTTCTATCTCAATAAAAAAAAAATCTATAGAAGCGCAATTTTACTAACGTTTGTTCCTCGTCTTTATTCGATGAAAGTAGGTACATTTGATTTTTTCATCCTTTCTCCCCTTTAAAAAAGCACGATAAATATATCTCCTAGAAATTTTTTATCATGTCAACTTTAAATTTTTTGAAATATTAAGTCAATGTTGTTATCGTCCTTGCTTAAATGATAACGAATTATTCGACACGATATAATTCAAGAACGTAAATTAATTGAAAATAAAGGTAGATAGACTAAAAATTTTGATGTAATAGATACATGTATCCATCCTACTTAGTACTTTTGTAATCACTCGTTGTTATATCATGCAAAATTATCAAACTTCACAAACCAAATTTATAACACACAAAAAGAAAAAGAAAAGAAAAAAAGGAAAACCAGAAAGTTTAGCAAATTATAAATTATAATACCTAAGTTTAAGTTTATATCATATGCAATGGAAACGAGTACCGACCGAATTAAGACGTCAGAAGGAGAAGCTGCCACGGTTACGGCAATGGGTTTTATTTGTTTTTATTTAATTTTGCAAAAANAAAAGAAAATCCAAGTGGGACCCACGTGCCCACGAAAAGGCGTAGGAAAACGACAAAAGGGTGTCACTAAGCGGCGTCGTTTAGAGAGATCCAGTGATTGAGTTCCACGTGGAATGTAAGTAGAATTCAAAAACGCCGCATCCTGGTTTCAGAAACGGTCGGATATTTGTCTCCCCCACCATCACCTCTTCAACATAGGATTCTAAATTCCAATGTTAATGAATTTGGATACTCTTCTGTTCCATTCATAACATGTTTCTACACAAATTCCAAACTTGTTTAATCACCTCCCTTTACAAATACAAACCCATAAATCCAACTAAATAAACATTCCCAAAATGGATACATTTCAACATTATTACTTATTCACCCGATCTCTCACTGTACCCTAAATTTGTTCTACACCTTTTCCCCTCCCTTTTCACAACGATAACAACTTGATTCTAATATTCTCTCCGCTACTTTTAGTTATGGGTCTAACTATTTTGATTTTTGTCTATGTACGTAACGTATGTTTGAAGGAACACTCTTGTAATACATAAACTCAATTCGCAATGAGAGGAATAGTCTATTTCTATTTAAACTATTGTTACGTCCTTTCTCTTTTCAATGTAGGATCCTTAGCACTCGTTTCTCCCTCTCTCAATTCTCTCTAGTCTCTCGTCTTTCTCAGCTCTTTCTCATAAAATTGTAAAAAGTGTTAAATTGACTAACCTAGTCGATTTAAGTGTCAAATTGACACCGGTGGTCGAGAATTATTCCTTACATAGTTTCTGCTAATTTAGAGTTTTTCCTTCTCTCTTTTCATTTTATGTTTTGTTTTTGTTTTTTAATTGCACTTGTTGTATTGATGTCAAACATGTAACATCTTAAAAGATTACACTTATAAATGATGTGAGATTCTAAAGATCTACACATGAAAATAATTAAATTTATGTTTCCAAATAGGAGTGATGCATGGCTAAGGCATGTGACCATGGTCCATATCTTATACAATTAGGTGTGTCTAAGGGAAGAAGAAGACACAAACGGAAACATACAAAGATCTAATTAAAATGCAAAAAGGAAAAAGAAAAGACAAAATTTAGTCTCTCTCTCTCTCTCTCTCTCTCTCTCTCTTTTTGCCATGGGAGGTGGGTTCTCTTCACCTAGTCACCAACTGCAATACACAATACACAGTGACAGTGGAGAAGGAACAAGATGACACTGAAACACAAATCTAAATTGAATGATATGGGAATTGGACTTTTTCCTCAAATCTTCAATTGCATTAAAGAACATGAGAAAAAAACATGACATATTTATTGTATATAAGGTTTATTATTATTATTATTATTATTTGCATTTGGTCCAAAAACTGTGTGTTTTATTGACTATTCTTC